AAGTATGGATGAAGAATATCTGGATCAAGCAGGCATCAAAATGGATCACACGGTGGTTGAACCACAGGACACTCAGCATGGTGGGCAAAGTGGCAAAGGATAAGCCCAGGTCTGAGAGCGCCAGCATAGACTGCCAGTGGACAGAGCACATCAGCCCTTTTTGAAGGGGGGGGACTTCCACTTTCCTCTGCTCATCCAGCATCTCACTGGCTCCTCAGGGTTCCCAGAGACAGAGGGTGCATCAGGTTTTGGCCAGGACATCAGCGAGAAGGAGATCTTCTTCTGTCCTTTCCTGAGAAGCACTGGTCCCGGGCTTACACACGTACAGGATCTGTTTTCTATTCGATTGCTTTCTCCTTTTTAAAGCACAAGCCGCTCAGAGCCATCTGGAGCTGGGCAGCGTCTAAATCTACGAAGAAACACACCACCACTTCCCTTTATCTGACTTCAGTCCGTCACATTTATTTTTTTCTCGCTTTCCACTTCTCCATACATGCACGTTGCTGTAAGAGACGGAGTGCCAGAATGAGCTTCCATCTCCACTCCTTTGTCCCTGCCCAAGGAGAGTCAAGCAGCTGAGAAGGGACTGATAACCGGCAAAGGAGGGCGGGCGGAGTTGTCCAACAAGAAGCCGAGGGGTCTGAGTGACAGAGCAGAGTCTCACAGGCCAAGCGGAGAAGCCAAAGTTTGAGATAAGTAAGGGAAAGGGAAGGAACAAGGCCAAGAAATGCAATCCACAAGAGCAGCGTCAGTGAGAGCAGCGGACGCAATATTTCAGCCGCTTCTGTAAAACGCAGCTCCCCGAGTCTCTCGTAGCCTGGTGGGTTAGGAAACATGATTGCCCCACTAGATTTATCCGAGCCTGGCCTCTGACCGTCACCATCCCTAAAATGACCTTACCTACAGACGGCAACAGGGGTCCATGTCCCCCTTCCTGAAATCTCTACCCAAAAGGGCTACCCTAAACAAGCAGCGCACCGGGAATCTCCACTTCCATTTCCCAGCACCGAGAAAGGCAGAAGAAACATAATCCTCTCCCCACCACCCCAAGATATATAAAAACCTGACTGCAAGAGTTATTTCAGTTTCTGGGAAATGGTGTGCATAATGAGGTATGAAAAAGGGAAAGGTTTCAAATCGGTCTGAGGGTCCCAACGGAGTCCCAGATCAAGCACCAAAACTTATAAAGGAAGACATCTATCTCCCATCTTAAGGACAGCAAACAACATAAACCTACAGCTGAATGCACTTTCTGTTTTCCTCTTCTTTCCTTTCCTTTTCTTTTCTTTTCTTTTTTTTTTTTGAGGCCATTCCAGATTCTGCTTAAGCTGGAATTTCAGCTACATCCCTCTCAACCTCAGAAGAAGCTGCAAGGAGCTTCCATCTACAATAGTTTTCTCAGGAGAGAGAGAAATCAGAGCCAGCCTTCCTCCAGTGATCTGAAATGCCAGGTTGAATGACTTTTGTCTTTCCTCCTTCTTCTGCGAGTCAGAGCTTTTCCTGAAGCCACACATGCAATTTGTCCTCTCTCTTATAGAACTTCAACCATGCGAGGGCTACAACCTTGGCCATATGTTGGGGTTGAATTCCACACACATGTCAGGGGAGAAGAAAAAACTACAGGCTACATATGTCCAATAGTTGTAATTACCTCCTTCAGGTTCTCACTGTTCTCCACCTTTCTGAAATTTCCTGAGAATCCGTATGCGGATCTGTTTGGTTTTCACACTGTACACAATGGGGTTCGTCATGGGAGGCACTAACAAATAAGTGTTGGCGATGAGGATGTAAGCGATGCAGGGAGCATGCCTCCCATATCGATGGATCATGGTGAGCCCAAGCATGGGGATGTAGAAACTGAGGACAGCACAGAGGTGGGAGATGCAAGTGCTGAGCGTCTTAAAGCGTTCCTCTTTGGAAGCAACTCCCAAGACAGTCTTGAGGATCATGAAGTAGGAGAGGACCAGCAGAAGCAAATCCACCCCTGTGGACAAGAGCATTACTATCAGGCCATAGACACTGTTGATCCTCCTATCTGAATAAACCACCTTTAAGACATCCTGGTGCAGGCAGAATGAATAGGAAAGGACATTTATCCTTCCATATTCCAGATGCCTCAGAAGGATGGAACCCGGTAGGACAAAGCAAGTAGCCCGAATTGCAACTCCTACTCCAATTCTGATCACTGTCCCATTGGTCAAAACACTGGTGTATCTCAGAGGGTTCTGGATGGCCACCAAGCGATCAAAGGCCATAGAGAGTAGAATACCAGACTCAGCAATAGAGAAAGTATGGATGAAGAACATCTGGATCAAGCAGGCATCAAAATGGATCACACGGTGGTTGAACCACAGGACACTCAGCATGGTGGGCAAAGTGGCAAAGGATAAGCCCAGGTCTGAGAGTGCCAGCATAGAAAGAAAATAGTACATGGGGGTGTGGAGAGTTTGGTCCGTCTTGATGACAAAGAGGATGGCGCAGTTCCCTGTGATGGCCACGAGGTACATGGAGCAGATGGGGAGGGAGATCCAGAGGTGGTGTTTTTCTAGCCCAGGAAAGCCTGTCAGGAGGAAAACTGGGGGGCTGAATTCTGAGTGGTTGCTGAACATAGTTCTCTTAGTTTAGGACTGTTTTGTTCACTGGGAAGAAAAAACACATTAAGTCATTCAGATGGCCTCAGGATACCTTTGATGAACCTGCATACCTATCAGGGGTTCATTTTCACAGCTGCCGACCTCCATAAGTTGCTGTGCTGCCTCCGTATGGTTTAGATTTCCAGTCCAAGAACTCCAGTCTACTTTGGGGGAGTCTCTGGGTTGGAATCCAGCACCAATGCAAGTCATCAACAGGTTGGGGAGGTTGATGTCTCTTCTTAGCTGCTCACCTTTCTGTCTGGCTTCACTACCAGCTTATGCGCCTGCACATTCTCACATGCCCACATGCAAATGCAGAGGGTAGCAGCTAGTTGCTTGAACCTACTTCTGCAAATGACATCCTCCCCCCCGCCCTCCTCTGTCAGCCCCAGCCCAAGAACGACAACGAGGCAGTCCAGTCCAGTAGAGTTCCTTTATTAGCGTGCACCTAATTGACAGAATCCCGCCAGACCAAACCTGTGCTAAAGCAACTGGTGGCTGTACCCCGTGAGACTCCAGGGAGGGGCCGGCCTCAGCCCCTTCACCTTCTCACGGCCCTGCTGCGGGCTGAGGACGTGCTTGCTCCTAACCCCTCCAGGACTGCTCCCCCTCCCTCCCAATAACCTCGATCCTCCATTCCAGTATCCTCCCCGCACATCCTCCTCCTCTTCCTCATCTCTTTCCAATTCTTTCTCTCGCTTCTGTGTTCAAGGCTTTCACAAAACCCATAGATTTCCCACCTGGAGAATTTCAACTCTCGCCCAGGCACTCCAGTTTAATTTTTATTTTGTGAACAGAGAAACTGAGAGCACACTGGGTGTCTCAGAAGACAGGGGCTCCTTAGACTGTCCCTCCACCCCCACAGCTGTGGAATCCTCAATCCCAGGAGCTTCCCAAAATGTCCTTCTCCACAGGAGAAGCTCTCTCTTCCCCCAGACCGTTCAAATCTTGCTCCTCAATAGGCTTTCCCAATCCTTCAGCATCTCCTTCCTGCAAAACCCGGCAGTTCTCATTCTGTCTGTCCCAAAGAAGAGAGCATGAGAGGGGACCGACGGGTGGGTCATGGACGGTCCGGCCATCAGGCGTTCCTCGGGGAACAGAAGGGCCAACGGACACTGAGGAGGCCAATGGAGGAGCAGTAAGGGCTGCCAAGGAAGAACAGCCCCTCCCTCTGGTCAGCAGAGAAATGTGCAAATGCATGAGAACAGATGGACAAAGGACGGAGCAGGAGAAGAGATAAAAGAGCCACGGTCCACAGCTTGGGCTTGGACTTAAACCCATGGCTGACCCTCCCCAGCAGGCAAAGCCAACTCACCAAACTGGAGACGATTCTGCCTCTCCTCCTTCCTGGTTCTCTTGCAAATGCCGGCAGATTGTTTATGACTCCAGGTTTGCCTCCCTCTTTTCCCCTGGGCTGGACGGCTTCTCCGTTGCTCTGGGAAGTTTTTCCTCGTGGTCCCTCCAGGCGGGTCCCTCCGTTCCTGCTGGGATGAAGGGAGCAGAAGGGCAACTGGCTAGCAGACCGCCTCAGGGGGAGCCTCGGCTCTCCCAGCTTCAGCTCTGGGGAAGGCTGGGCCCCACGCAGGTCTGAAGCTCCTACCGCCTCTGCTGTGGGTGGTGGGCTGAATCCTCAGAGCAGCTTCTGGGTGGGGCTTGAGGGATAAGCAGCTCTTGGGCCAGAGGGCATCCAGGGAGTTGGCATCAAGAACTGGCACTCGGGCACATCGAGACCAGCACTTCAATGTGGTTTGCTCCAGTCTGTCTGGTGGCATAAAGTATGCCAACTAAGCTGTCTCTATCCCACAGCCAGTCTCTAATGGCTGTTCAGGAGCAATCATATAGATAGATTTTGTCCATGACCATGACAATCTGTGCCTAACCTGTTCCTTCAGGTCTTTCACTCATCGCCACTGTAAATTGAGTCCATTCACCTTGCTGCTGGTCATTCTCTTCTTTCCCAGCATTAGAGCCTTCTCCAAGGAGCTGGATCTTCACATAATGTGTCTGAAGGAGGACAACTTGAGCCTGGTCATTTGTGCCTCCAATAGGAACTCTGGGTTGATTTGTTTGATGATCCATCCATTTGTTTTCTTTGCAGTGCAACCTTTGCTTCCAAGAGTCTCACAGGGAGATGACCGCTTTAAGGGGGATTAAAGACAACTCCTTCTCTGAGTGGAAGAGACCCTTAGGTGTCCTTGGTGGTAGAGAGCATCAACGATCTGGGTGAAAGCACAGGGCTGGGTTATTAGAGCAGGATAACTTTGTTCCACATACTGTGCCATTGGTAGCCTGGGGACAGCAGGGAGGGCACATTCCTGCCACTTGGCAATCTGTGCTGTTCTTCCTTATGGGTTTTGTAGTCCTTGGTGAAATGTGCTTTTGGATGAAATAAGGAGAGTCCAGAGATCCTGGATCTGGGTTGTGGGGTGCCCAGGAGTAAAGGTGGGGTAGAGGGGATCAGCCCATTGGAAGGGTGAAAAGGTGAGGTGGAAACTGACTGTTCTTTATCCATCAGGAAACCTTGGTTTGCTGATGTCCTCCACATCTTCCGTTGCTCTTGGTATTATTCAACATTTTTATTTATAATGAAATAATGGGAATGAGGGGCTGCTTATCAGATGTGCAAATGGACAACAGTGAGAACTCTGGCCAACTCAGCTGACAGGAACAGGGGGTCCTTCCACAGGGAGAAATGTAAGGCATTCCATTTGCGGGTGGTTGGGGAAGATAACACACACATACAAGACAGGCGTTCATGGATTGGAAAAAAAACTTTGAAGAAGGACATGGGTGTGGTTAGTGACAGCAAGCTGAATGTGAGCCAGCAGTGTGAGATAGCTGGTAGAAGGGTTAAGATGGTTCTGGGCTGCATCAAAGAAGCATCATATGAAAGAAGCATGAAGCAGAAGTGTGAGTCTTTTGATGGTGGTGGGACAGAAATATGATAAATAAATAAATAAATAAATAAATAAATAAATAAATAATAATCAGCCCTTGTTCCTTTCTACTCGGTGATGGTGAACCCACACCTGAAGTATTGGGTATGACTCTGACAACCACAATTCCAGAAGGTTATGGACAGGTTTGTTCAGAGGAGGTGGCCAAGGTGATACAAGGACCTGAGGACAAGCTAAAGGAAGTGTCAGGCCCAGCCCAAGAACAATGATGAAACAGTCCGGTCCGATCCAGTCCCTTTATTAGCTTACACCATATGGACAGAATCTCGCCAGACTAAATCTGCACTACAGCAACTAGTGAATCTACCCTGGGAGATTCCAGGGAGTGGCTACACTGAACCTCTTTCACTTCCCCCACTGCCCTTGCGGATTTTGCTGCCTCTTGCCTTCTCCCCCCTCCTGGGGTGCACCCCCTCCTTCCTGGTAGCCTTGATCTCCCACATCACTCTCCTCCTCGGAGATCTGTTCCATCACAGGAAGGATGTTCAGTCTGGAGGAAAGAAGCCTGAAGGGAGGCATGATATCATTGTTCAGGGCAGAGAAGGAGCCATTAGAGAAGATGGTCAAGAGTTACTTCCCATTGTGCAGACAATAGACACGTTGCCACAGAAACTAGGGTGAGAAATAATGGGTATAACTTGCAGCTATCTAGAGTTAGTTTAACTAAAAGGAAAAACTTCCTGATGGTAAGAACTGTGCTATTGCAGTTATCATCATCCACAACATGGAACAGCACCAGCTCTGGTTGCAAAGGTGGGTGAGATAGTTGCAGTCACCTTTTGGATTTCTATCTGTTTTGCATGGAAATCAACCTGTCTGTGAGCTGCTTGTGAAGGGTTGTACCCAGTACTCAGCCTTAGAAATAGAAAGGGGATCTGGTGGTGTAGAAGAGTACGGAGATGGCCCTGAAGAAAGCATGTGGCAGACATGACGAAAACATCATGGGCATAGGAAAACATGAAAGGGTGAGAAAGAAATTGCTCTACCTTGACTGTCTTTGGTACAAGATAGAAATATAATCTTTCAAGACTTTGTTATTATAATTCATATCATTAAAATGGAGTTCTAGTATTCCTTTTGTCTGTTCCCTGAACTCATCTACATTAAAGGTGACAGGTAGTGGTTCCACCTGCCTGCTGTTCAACGTCTTCCCTGGCCAAACTCGTGAAGGAGGTCTCTTGGATAGCCTTGCAGAAGTCCAGGACAATTGGACTGGACTGGCTGGTAGGACGTTGCTTGGCAATTATGCAGCTGTAGAAACCGATCGCCTCCCCTGATTGCCAAATATTCCTTTCTTGGCACTCGGTGCTGGGAAGGAGCCACCCTACAAGGCCCTTGAAGAAGCCAGGCATCGAGATCCAATTCCATCCAGCTTCGCTCTGCGTCTGGCCTGGGGAAACCGTCGGGCCTCCTGCTGGATGACATTTACTGGGAGAAAAGCGGGATGAGTGGGGCCACTCTGTTGTTTCTCCTTGGCCTCTCACTGGCCTTTGACACCATTGATCCTGGGATATTGTTGGGGTGGCTCACTTGGGAATTGGATACGTGGGCGCCAGGATCCCATTCTTGCCTGCATGGCCATCGCCTCAGCATGAGAGTGACAGTTCCCCTGTGACCCCACTTGGTTCCACCCTTTCCCCCCGCAGCCGCAGAGCTCAATTAACCACTGGTGGCATCAGCGCCATGCGTGGCATGCCGAATTTCCTGGACCGAATATAGCCCCCCATTGCAAGTGTTCTATCAAGCAAACAACTGACTGTCTACGCACATGTAACTTTGCCAATGCTCAGCTGTACCACGTGGTTTTTCTGCCACTATATCTAATCTAATGAGCGAATCCCTTCAGCTTAGGGAAAGCAGCTTTATAATAACCTAAGAAAAAAGGAAGCCCCCTCCGTGCCATTCAGAGGACCCTAAAGTCCCACCACGCAGTCCGGCATCAAGCACAGAAAGACCAAGGAGGCCTCCCTTGTTAACAGCAACGACATCCTAAAACTGAAGAAAAGTCTCGCTGATTGAGAGGTTTTGCCTGGTTCTGCTTCATCTGGAATCTGGGTGGACGTGGCAGCCACGTCTCTCCCAACCTCAGGAGAGGCTGAAAAGAGGTTCGGCCCACTGGGTCTTCTCAGGAGCCTGAATTTCAGAGCCAGCCTGCTGAAAAACTGTTTGAAGTCCTCTTGAATCTGTTCCATCCAGCAGAGGAGCCTGCAAATAGCCTTCTCCCATAGTTCTGGGATGCCGGGTCATGATTCAATTAAAAGGTCTCCTCTGCTCTCCTAAATCTCTTCCTTCATCTGCAAGTTGGAGCACTTTCTAAAGCCACATACTGTATACAACCTGCCCTCTCCTGATAGAACATCTCTTGTTGTCACAGCTTCATCCTTTGCTCCTGAGGTTGGGAGAGACGTGGCTGCAACGTTCACCCAGATTCCAGATGAAGCAGAACCAGGCAAAAGGCACTGCCTTTTCTGGCTGAATTCAACACACATCTGCAGAACATCTCATGCAAGGGGAAAAGGAAAACCGCCCCAGGCGTCCCACAGCTGTCATCACCTTGAAGTTCTCACTGTTTTCTCCCCTTCTGAAATTTATTCAGGATCCGTGTGCGGATCTGTTTGGTTTTCATGCTGTACACAATGGGATTCATCAGAGGAGGCAGCAAAAGGTATACATTGGCGATGATAATGTAAGTGATTGGCGAAGCATGATTCCCATATCGGTGGATCATACTGAGGCCAAGCATGGGGATGTAGAAGCCCAGGACGGCACAGAGGTGGGAAAAGCAGGTCCTCAATGTTTTGAAGCACTCCTCCTTGGAGAAAGCTCCCAGGACAGTCTTGAGGATCATGAAGTAAGAGAAAACCAGCAGGAGTGAATCCACCCCTGTGGACGTGAGCATAACAATCAAGCCATAGACACTGCTGATTCTCCTGTCTGAGAGCCCCACTTTCAGGATGTCCTGGTGCAAGCAGAAGGTGTAGGAAAGGACATTTATCCTCCTGTATTCTAGGCGCTTTAGGAGGAAGGAAGCTGTGAGTACAAGAAAAATTGCCCGAAGGGCAACTCCCACCCCAATCTTGATCACCGTCTCATTGGTCAAAACACTTCTATATCTCAGAGGGTTCCTGATAGCCACCAAACGATCAAAAGCCATGGCCAGAAGAATGCCAGATTCAACAATGGAGAAAGTATGGATGAAGTACATCTGGATCAAGCAGGCATCAAAATGGATCACACGGTGGTTGAACCACAGGACACTCAGCATGGTGGGCAAAGTGGCAAAGGATAAGCCCAGGTCTGAGAGCACCAGCATGGAAAGAAAATAGTACATGGGGGTGTGGAGAGTTTGGTCCGTCTTGATGACAAAGAGGATGGTGCAGTTCCCTGTGATGGCCACGAGGTACATGGAGCAGATGGGGAGGGAGATCCAGAGGTGGTGTTTTTCTAGCCCAGGAAAGCCTGTCAGGAGGAA